TCTTTTTGATAATTCTCTAGATAAAGCTGTGGTCACACTAACCATCAATAGCTACTGAGGAGTAGTTCTACTGAGTTGGCCTAAAAGTTCATTTGGATTTTTCTGTAACATCATATGGAAAAACCTGAGCAAACTTTTTTTCCAACCCAATGTGTTGTATGTTGTAGAGGAAGTGATATAAAAAAACTAAAAATTACTGAAGAAGTAAAGAGAATTTGGAGTTTTTCCTGCCTTGATTTAGGCTTCTGTAGATGTTCATCTGCAAGGAATGGCATGTCTACTGCTCTTTAACTGATGGGAATCTCAACAAAAATCCTGCATACCTGGTTAGAGATAAGAGGAGGATGTGGAGGGCTTCCCTGGGGGCTCAGACTGTAAAGAATCTGCTTACAATGCAGGAGGTCCGGGTTCAATCCCTGGGTGGGGAAGATCCTTTGGAGAAGGGAGTGGCTACCCACTCCAGTATTCTTGCCTGGAGAATTCCATGGGCAGAGGAGTCTGGCGGGCTACAGCCCATGGGCTATAGCCCATGGCTAAAGTCCAGTCTTGGTGGGCTACTCGCCAAGAGTCAGACACGACTGAGTGGCTAACACTTCCACTTTCTTTCAAAGAGGATAAGAACTGGGTTGACTTCTGGAGGGAATTCCTCTGCTTCTGGAAGAATAAGAGGGATTCCCAGTAGGAAGTATGTCCAGGTAAAGGGGCCCTGTGACTTGGCCTGACAGCATCACTCCAAAGAACAAATCAAAGTCATTCTTAACAGGAGGGCTACAGATACATCCCCATGAGAAAAGGATCACAATGGAGGGTACTTAGGGTTATTCTGGAGATGAAATATCAATTACGTGAAAGAACAGCTGCAGTCATTTAACACAGTTTTGATAATAACAATGTTCAATCACTTTATTTTTTAAAAAATTATCTATTTTCTTCATTTATTTTTGGCTGTGCTGGGTCTTTGCTGCTATGTGCGGGCTTTCTCTAGCTGCAATGAATGGATGTTACTCTCTAGTCGCAGTGTGTGGGCTTCTCAGGGCGACGGTGTCTCTTGTTGTAGGGCATAGGCTCTGGACGTACATGCTTCAGTAGTTGTGGCTCACGGACTTAGTTGCTCCGCTGCATGTGGGATTTTCCCACACCAGGGATTGAACCCATGTCAGCTGCACTGGCAGGCAGATTCTTAACCACCAGATCACCAGGGATGACCCATCACCTTCTATCTTATAAAAAAAAAAAATGCCGACATTTCAGTTCTATAAGGATCAAGCCATTAAGCACCACAGATACCACTTTAGAGTATGACCTGAAGGGAATTCAGGACGGAAAACATCAGAAAACATTCTTTGCTTTGGGTATACTGGTCCTTAGTTCAGAAGAACATCTAAGAAAAATTTCAAAGGACCCCAGACTTCCCATACACAGTTAGGTAGACTAAAGATAATTTTAATGTGAGCTATCTGTTCTTTGTGACTAGCAGTAATCTTTTAAGGCTTGACTACATATTTTTTCCCAGCAAAAAAAAGTTTATACATATGCTGGCTCCTCCCTTCCCTCTTCTGAGTAGCTCCTCAGAGCTATCTGACAAGCTGTTTCGGGGCTGCAGCCTTCCAAAAGTTCCTCAGGTAAAACTTAACTCACAATCATTTTGGGTGTTTTTTCTTTCAACTGACCATCTTGGTACTTGTCTAGATTGGGCTCTCAAGGAAGCAGATGCTGATATGAAATTATGAGTGCAGGAGCTTTATTAGAGAGTTAACATCTGTGAAAGTACAAAGGATTGGGCGCGGAGAGCTGTCACAACATACTGCAGAGCTGACAAAATCTCTGCTAGCTCAGCAGGGAACTCTGGAGCAGACTGTCCCTTAAAGGGGTCCAGTGTCAGGCAAAAGCAGTTAGACCTGCAGCCCCACCTTGTTTAGTCAACAGCAGGGTCCACCCTGAAAACGGCGGGACCTCAGAGTAAAAAGCTGAAGGAAACCCCAACAAAGCTAACAGCCGGATGGCTCTAGGCAGAGGGCACTTTCATAACAGGGAATCCAGACATCTTATCTCCACATCTGCCCCAGTAGCGCAGTGGGACACTAGTTAAATTTTTGCTGGCAGTGTATTTGGTGATGAAGAGGTCTTAGTGAGGCGTACTCAAATTCTAAAATTCCACTTGAGGGACTTCCCTGGTGGTTTGGCGGTTGAGAGTCCGCCTTGTAATGTTGGGGACTTGGGTTCAATCCCTGGTCAGGGAAGTAGGATCCCACATGAATCGGAGCAGCTGGGCCTGTATGTTGCAGATACTGAGACCAAGCACCACAAAGAAAAATCCCAGGTGATGCAGCAAAGATCCCTCATGCCACACCTAAGACCTAATGCAGCCAAATAAATAATAAAACAAATAAATATTTATAAAATTCCACTTGAGTTTATGGTGGTAGATCACCACCTTAGGTAACTAGACTTGTCACTACCAAAAGATTAAAGATTAAAACTATCAAATGTTGCTTAAGGCCTGTAAAATGATCAGGATATCATTACCCTCATACCTTCCCCCCAAAGTGGCTCCAATGGGACAACTCAGGGTCTCTTCTGCTTGTGATGCATCAAAGATCCAGTCTGACTTCCTTCAATGCCACCTCCTTGATCTGTGTGAGACTGGGTATTCTCACTGTCCTCTGGAGAGCCATTCTGAGCTCCTGCCCATTTCACAACTAAGCCAGTGCAACAGTGGACAGAAAGAGGAGTTGGTTTGCTGGTTGGATGGTTCATTTTAAGGGTGTATTATAGCGTGGTGCTTAACATAGTGGAGGCTCTGGAATCTGTCACCACTTGTGAGCGATTTGGCTTTGGAAAGTTCCTGAACCTCCCAGTGCCTTAGTTTCCTGATTTGTTAAACCCGCATGACAATCGTGCCTACATCATGGAGATGCCGTGAAGACAAAATAACGTAGCTCATGCAGTTCTTGACTTGGGAAGGGGTCAGCACATATCAACTCTTCTTCTCCTTCTCTTTCCCCTCTTTCTCGTCCTCCTCTTCACTGAAAAGACACTTTCCTGTTGAATTTTGTCACCTGCTATCTAGATTAGCAAACCACTCACAAAACTTGGAAGGAAAGTAAAACTGAAAGATCTGTTACTCTAACAAGATTTAGGATGTTTACTTTTGGTCAGGTCATTGGTTTTCACCATTATGTTCTCATTACTGTTCTGGGTGTGCTAGGTGTAAACAATGGCCTCCCTTCTGTGCAGCAGCTTGTTTGAAAGACAAATGGACATATAAATGATTAATCAAAGTGTAGCTGCATATAAAATTAAGTTTTAAATGAACAGTATAGACCATAAGTGATGTAGGACTCTAATTTCATTTTGCTGACACCGGTGATTGTCTTTATTGTTGAAAGGTAATACCATTTGGGGTGAAATTGTGAGAGTGAGTTCCCGTACAGCAACACAATGAAATGTCATGTTTATTATCTTAGAATCAAAAATGCATTAAGTTACACCTGAAGAAAGCCTGGGCTTCCCTGGTGGCTCAGATGGTAAAGAATCTGCTTCCAATGTGGGAAACTTGGGATCAATCCCTGGGTAGGGAAGATATCCTGGAGGATGAAGTGGTTACCCACTCCAGTATTCTTACCTGGGAAATTCCATGGACAGGAGCGCAGCGGGGTAAAGTCCATGGGATCACAATAAGTGGGACAGGACTCAGAGACTGAGCAACTAAGCCCAAAGAAAGATTAAAGATATTTAAGTATGACAATATCGTTGCCTCTTATTGTATCAGCCTATTAATACTTTCCACCACTGGATGTGTCAAGATGGCAGAAATACCAAGAACTGATCAATGCTTTGAATAAAACAATGGGGAAAGCTTACATTTTTCAGTTGCTCTCTCAATGAATGTCTCTCCTTATTGTATTTTTGCTGTTTTTAACTAGATGATGAGGCGCATCCAGTAGCCTTCTTCATTGCAGGGAATCTCCTTTAGGGATTCAGGAGGGAAGTGAATAGAAAAGACAACTGAGCCAGATCATGTGGGATCATAGTTTTCAGTGTTTAGAAACTCTTTGGGTTAAAGAGTACGCCGCCCCATCACATTCTTTTACTTGCTGGAGAACATGCTTTGTGTCTGGTGGGAGATACACACGGTAGGTCAAGTGTGGTTAACCGGTTATTGAGATTGTCTTGCTGCACACAAAGCGAATCCTTACTATTAAACCCTTTGGAATTACTGATGTGAATATGACCCTAGAAGAGTCCTATATTATTTCATTATCTTCTTGTATCCTTTTAGTAACCTAGGGCTCTAGGGGCTCCTTTCCTCCACGAGATACATGAGTATGGCTGAAGACCCCTTGTTGGACTCTTAAATCTCTTATTAGGAAGAGGGGGACAAACAAAACAACCTAAAAAGATATCCCTTAACTCACCAATAGTTTTTGAATAAGTCTTTTAGAAGTGTCCTAGCATTGTTCTCGGAGAAGGCAGTGGCACCCCACTCCAGTACTCTTGCCTGGAGGATCCCATGGACGGAGGAGCCTGGTAGGCTGCAGTCCATGGGGTCGCTAAGAGTCAGACACGACTGAGCGACTTCACTTTCATGCACTGGAGAAGGAAATGGCAGCCCACTCCAGTGTTCTTGCCTGGAGAATCCCAAGGACAGGGGAGCCTGGTGGGCTGCCCTCTATGGGGTCGCACAGAGTCAGACACGACAGCAGCAGCAGCAGCATTGTTCTAGGCTGGGTGGATAAGAAGACGAAGTGTGAGGAAACACGGTGATCTGTCCTCAGGTGTTCCTGGAATGCGTCTCTTTTCTCCTGGACAATGTGACTGCCTGCACGCAACCCGTCGGACTGAAAAGGCCAATCAAGGACGGTGATTTTTTTTTTCTCCGCTCCTTTTGCCACCTCCCACTCCCGACAGGCTGACAACCTAGATCGCTTCCCCGGACTCGCCTGACTTTTCCATCTCATCCCACCCAGCGAAACCGCCCCCTGCCACTCGCGACGCGGATGGGACGCCGGAGGTCCCAGCGAGCATGCGCGACCATCCCGAGCATGCTCAGTAGCGCGCGCGGCGCCCCGGAGCTTCGCCCCCCAGCTGCGGCCGACGCGGAGGTTTCCGCGGCTTCTGCGGCAGCGACGGGAAGTGAGGCGGCCCGGCCGGGCGACCGCGGCCGCAGAAACAGAGGCGGAAGAGTCGCTGAGGCGACGACGTCGTTGAAGGGGGCGGCCGAGGGGGCTGAGTGCCGAGGGGACTCACCCGCTCGGAAGCCGGACCCCGAGCCGGGAAGGATGGATCACCACCAGGCGGGGGCTGGCCGCTACCAGGTGGTGAGTTTCTGTCCTCAGCTCCGGCCTCCTGCGCCGCCCGGAACCCCGGGATTGTCCGCCCCCCCTCCCCAACCTCTCCCCCGTGGACGCCAGAGCCCCTTTCCACCAGTTATTGCCGGGGGGGGGGGGCATGCTGGCTAATTTGTTTTTGGCTCTTCTGGGAGGACCGTGCTTACTTCACATCTCTAGTATTGGAGCCTGCCCGTGGGTCCTTTGAGACCCTTCTTTCTAGACCCAGGTCGTCTTTTAGGTCCTCATCCTTCCGGTGTTAGACACCCCCCGCCCCTCCTTTTAGAACTTATATCTCTTTTATTTCTCACTTTCTCGATCATTTCGTCATGCCCTGACCCAGTTACTTCAGAGATTTTCCAGTGGATTGTATACTGGAAATGAGTTCACATACCTGCTGGGAAGGTGATCGCCGTCATAGATGGAGTGGGTGGGAAGGAGGGAGAGGTAAGTACTATGTGGGGTGGGATTGGATTTGGTTTAAAAAAAAAAAAGTGTGGGTTTAAAAATTGCGCAACCGTAGAGAATAGTCGTGGGGCTGATGTTATTTCTTAGTCCTAGTTAACCTTGTCATTTTGGCCTTTTCTGTTTTTATTAGAAAAGCGACTCTTTTTTTCCTGTGTGTGTGTTTTTTTTTAATTGGTGGGAGGGGAAACAGGAAGTTTTGCTAAAAATGCTAATCGTGTTTGAAAAATTAATTTTAAGTACAAGGTTTTCCAGTTTAACCGTATTAAACCTTTGTAAGTTGAAATGAGTGAAAAGTGCCCCTCTGTGTTTCCCGTGTCCGTTTTCCTGATATATGTTTCTTCTGATACTAATTCCGATGTTGTCATTGGAGAATCCTAGGTAAACCCGGTTTAAAAATGGACTCAGCTATAGCTGACTATTTCCTTGCAGCTAGGTAGCATGTTATTCTGTAAACTTTGAGGTGGTAATTTAGTTAAGCCTATTTTCTGAGGGAAAGGAGAGAAACGTTAATTATGGAGCACTGATGGTACAATTGACAGTACCGTTTGTGAGATTTACAAATCTAGATATGTTAGTGCAGATTTCATGTTTCAAATCTGTTTACACAAGTGAGACTTATTGTGAACCAAGAATTTCTTTTAATAACTGTACTTTGACAAATATGAAGGGTACTGAAAGTTGAAATCCCAATGTATGTAGTTTTGCGGGGTTTTTTTTTTTTTTTTTTTTTTAAGATAAAAACTCATGATGCATCAGTTTCATCTGGTTTACATCTGGTAAAACCTCCAAATGGTGTGTGTTCATTTGGAATTCTGTAAAATGGGGGTGTTGGGATAGGGGTGTGGGGGTATACCATGATAAAGTTATTAATCTGAATTCTGTAAAAATTTATCAGTATTTTCAGAATGGTTTGGAAAATATTGCTGCCAGTATGGGAAGACATTTTTCAAGTTGTTAGTGTATACACTTTTGATGGTTTGTTTTCTTTTTTTAAGGCATAGTCCTATTTTTGCAGATGTTAGTAAAAATAAAATATTGAATATTGTTACCAGTGTGTTTATTTCTTTTCTCTAATCACTTTTCTTTACTTTTCTTATTTGTTTCCCTTAATAGTGTTAGCTGATTCGAATTCTTTCTCTTTGGGGTTTTGCTTATAAGAATCAATCATGTTCTCATATACAGATCCCTATTCAAAACATTATTAACTGACACATCTATGCTTTAAAGTAATTTATTATAAAGTCACATTTGTTTTCAGTAGTTATGGTTAATTGTATATTTTTAAGAATTCCTAAAACCAAAATGTTGGAAGTTGCTCTGTGACCTTTAAGATACTTTCTTTTTCTCTACAACTCCTTTCAAAATAGTGGACAGTATGATATTTTGTTGCCCTTCTTTTTTTTTCTAGGTGGATATGTGCCCCACATACACTTTGAATGGGTGGAGGCAATCTTTGAGAGCAGAGGGCAAAAGTCTGCCCTTCTAAAGATATTTCTTGATTCAAGTAGGTAGGACATCACTTTCCTTGTAAGGTGAAGTGTTTGAGAATCTTAGTACAGTTTACATTTAGATTTTAATTCCAGTTCCTGTGTAATTTCATCTGTCTAGAATAGCTCTTGGTTTTGTTAATAATGGCCTGATTAGTAACTTTATCTTGGTATATTCCCCACACCCCTGACCCCACACTCCCCATTAGAGATGTGTCCTATGTAGACTTTGAATGGGTGGAGGTACTCCTTCAGAACAGAGGGCAAGGAAAAAAAAAAAAGGGCAGCCGATTTGGTCGGCAGTAAGCTAGGGATCAGTCTACAGCTCTGGCTTGTATGATTAACGCAACTGTTGTGCGGCTGGCTTTTTTGAAAACTCTGGAATGATTAATAACAACAGAGCAATGAGCAGTTTCAGTTGTCGAATGTTTAGAGATGACTAAGTAGAAGACAGGAAAATATGCTTGGCGGCGAAATCATATATGTGATGTTAATTTTCCACTTATTCATAGAGTTAAAATTTAGTTTTCAAGTTTAGTTTTTGATAAGTTGGGGCTTCCCTGGTGGCTTAGGTGGTAAAGAATCTGCATGCTATTTGGGAGACCCAGATTCCATCCTTGGATCAGAAAGATCCCCCGGAAAAGGGAATGGCTACCCACTTCAGTATTCTTGCTTGGAGAATCCCATGGACAGATGAGTTAATGGTGATGCCTAGGACCATCAGAGTGACTTAGTGTCATTAATGAATTCACAAGCTTTATGTTAAAACTACTTTCTCTGTGATCTCTGCTCCATCATTAAAAGTGTCTAAATTTTGTTTAGTAAAACAGTGTTTACAATGTACAGAGCTACACATATAAAAACCTTGCCTTGTTACCCTTCTAACTTCAGAAAAAGCCATGTAGTTCCATTGTGTTATGGGCAGCTGACTTTTGTTTGGTAGGAAATGGGCAGCGTTGCCAGACTGTGAAGTAGTTGACTTGGCTTGGAGCTGTTTTGCCACGTTCTGACTTTGATGTTCTCTATTTTGAAGGACTTGTGTACTTGAACCACCAAGGTGACTGCTAAGTTTTCAAAGGTATTCTGTGTACAAGTTAAATTGGCACTGTTGATTGCAGCAGTGGTTTTCCAAACTGGAACATTCAGAATGAAGATAATAGATGGTTTTAGAAGAAATAGAATACATATTAGCATATGTGTGTGTTAAGTCGCTTCAGTCATGTCTGACTCTTTGTGACCCTATTGACTGTAGTCTGTGAGGCTCCTCTGTCCATGGCATTCTCCAGGCAAGGGTTTTGGAGTGGGTTGCCATTCCCTTCTCCTTGGGATCTTCCCCGACCCAGGGATCAAATCCAGGCCTCTTAAATCTCCTGCTTTGGCAGGCAGGTTCTTGACCATTAGCGCCACCTGGAAGAACATATATTTGCATATTGAAACTGTGAGAGCTTCTGCCGTAAAGACAATGGTTTGGATTTGTTTAACCTAGCTCTTCCTAAACCACAGATTTTTAGAGACAACTTTGATTCTATTAACATTTCCGAAACGTTAGTTTTCTATAAGAATACAGTATTTGTCCTATGATGATATAGATGCTTTGCTCTAACACATGCTGAATTAGAGTTGCTCTTGATAAGTCAGCTGGGAAGGAGGTTGACTATTAATGATTAAACAAAGCCCTCACATCTTTTAAAGTCATCAGAGCCTATATTTAGGTTGTGTTGATTACAGTTTGTGAGACCTTGGTTTAGTTATCTAGCATCTTAAAGCCTCAGTTTCCTCATATTAGTACCTACCTCACTAGGATTATTATGAGAATTATATAATGTAATACATATATAAAATATAGTGTAGAGACAGATATATAATAAATATTATGAATAATAGAAGCAAACTAAGATAAACTATAAAATGTTACATAAATTGCAGTTTTTGCTGGTGTCTGTTTTTGTCTCTTATTTAGCAATATGAAAATCAACTAGCTCTTTGTCATTCATGTCAAGAACTCTGAAAAATCTTAAGATTTGATTTTACCATATTTACAAGCTGACACTTAGTCTGTTAATGTTTCATGGTTGCTGGCAGACAAACAGGAGACTCCCAGGTCAGAAACAAGTGACGTTATTACTCACAGCACTGCAGACTCATGAACGTCAGCCTGTTTGTGCTGTCTTTCCTTGTAACCAGGTCCCGTGAGGATGATGGGTCTAGATGGATACACATAGTGGATCACAGCTAAGGAACTCAGGACCAAGGGGCCAGCACTTTTTTTTTTTTTTTTAAAGCAAGCTGCAGGCATGATAGCAAACAACAAACAAGCTAGTTTACCTCTCCCTGAGAGGCAGTTGTCAGCTGTGGTCACCTTGACCTTCTTTGTTGCCTGTGTGACTTATTATAAGAATCCTTGCAGTATCATGAAATGGACAAGCTTTGCAGACTGTCACACTCAGTAAAAATATGCAGGGACACTCAGACCCACGGCTGGCTGCCTTAGCCAAGAGTACAGGTTCTGGGTGAGGTGTGACTTTTAGGTGCAGTCATGTTCTTTTGTTTCACATTTAAAAGCAATATTTCAGTCTTTCACTTTATGTTTCAGTTTTTTCTTCCTCTCTTGCCCCAGCGAGATTACTTGTCACTTGTTTGTTTCCTTTGAACTTAATAATATCCTTTATCTGATTTACATTCTTCCCACACCTCTTTTACATCATCAGGGTCCATTGCTTAATTTAGGTACTTTTCATTCTCTTCATGCTTAAGTTCTTTTATGTTGACATTGTGCACTTCTCCTTGAAACTCCTTCCTCCTTCCTGAAATGAAGGAGCTCTCTGCTCGGCCTGCAGTATAGGAGGCAGAGGAGATGTAGGTTTGATCTTTGGGTCAGGAATACCCCCTGGAGGAGGAAATGGTAACCCACTCCAGTATTCTTTTCCTGGAAAATCCCATGGACAGAAGAGCCTTGTGGGCCACAGTCCATGGGGTCGCAAAGAGTTGGATGTGATTGAGCAACTGAGCACTGACTGCCCTGATTTTTCTTCTCTC